GTAATGTGGGTGTTGGCCAGTGTGATGAGAACTATCTAATGGTTGATTGATGCTGAGGTGGAACGGCGAGTTAATGCTGGTTGTGTCGATGCAGTGACTGGTCATCGCAATCGCCATTAGATCATCTGGTGAGATTATCTCTGTGGTTGGGGGCAGCTATTTGAGGTACGTTGCTCTTAACCTTATCTACCCTCTTCGACATTTCTTACCGTGAGGTTGTGTGTTCCTTCTTGAGAGTCCTCTCATTGTGAGGTGTCGAGTGCGCTCAACCTTGAGAGTCAGCAATGTTCACGTGGAGCATCTGGGAGAAGATGGGCGGAGCTTTCTGAAGGGCCCTGGACGACGCACTGGGTCACGGTCACCATGCCAACCCACCGGGAGTAGAGCACGCATGCTTTGCTGCTTGTCCTTAGTTTGGCTTGCTGCGCTGTTAGATGGGTACTGAAGGGCAGGCCAGCCCTCAGTGGGAGACAAGACCGGGCGTCTTTAAATAAGCACCGGAAGGGGAAATCATTGGCTGTGATCGTCGTCCTGCTGCGACGTAAAATAATTCCTGATGACACTTGGGGGCGGTCGTTAAATTGCCTCTGGATCAGCCAATGATTGTAAGGCTCGCTGCACGCGAGGATAATCCAGTGCAGGGCTGGCCAGCTCAACAGATACTCGGGGCACAGGGGTGGGCCGGACACACACCTTTAGACACGCAATACTCTCCGGATTGCTCAGGGACGATGACGTCAAGTGACATTCAGGGGAACTAAGGGAGGGGTAGATTTCAGGTGATAAGGTTGAGAAAAATTCCATACTGTCCTATCCACACAAATGATTCTATTTTTATGTTTTGATTAGTTAGGTGTACAGCCGTTTGACATTTGTCAGACAGCATAGTAGGACGGTACTCTGTTCATTCTGCATTCTGTTTGCGGACTAATCAGACTAAAAATAGCTTCGTTTGTAGGAATCCGACTTACCTGTTGACCCCAAATGTATCTACTCCGAAATAGCCACCAATTAATTATTTAGTTATGGTCTATGCACTACACTGCGGTAAGCATCCAGAGTGCACTAATGCAGATTGTGTACAGTGCTGTAGCTTATGAGCGACGAGGAGGACACTAGAGAGGACGACCGGATCTTGCGATCGGCTAGGCGCCCGATTGCCCACTTGGCATTAGGACCAGAGGGCGATAGGTATCTATTCCGCCAGCTTAGGGAGAGGCAGCAGCAGCAGGGGCAAGCTAGGGCAGCAGAGGCTAGCAGGGCGTTTGTAAGTGAAGCCGCAGCTTCAGCCGCCATGGCCACTTCTACGCAGCAGAGTTCCTAGGCTAGTAGTTCTGGATCTGTAGGGTCGACGGTCGTGCAGACCTTAAGTCAGTCCACTGGCGTAATGGCAAGCCAGCCTATAGCGTTGACTACCGAGGAGATCGCCATACAACAAGCAGCATTGCAGGAGGCACAACTACGGAAGGCTTTAGGAGAGATAAAGGCGGAGAAGGAAAGGATGATTAGAAGAAGAGCCAGGATGCAGCGGAGACAAGCGGACGTCAGTGGGTTAGAGGAGATGGACCTGACGCACGTGACTGATGATGTGAGGACCATACGATCCGTCCTGCTAAATGTAGTTGAGATGCAGGACCATCAGACAACCATCCTTCATGACATTCAACAAAGTCTGGCCTTGTTGGTTGGGCGAGCGTAGGCAGCGCCATCAATGTTCGGGCCTGGTGCCTGGCCCGTTGTACAGCCTCCTCCTTTTGTCCCACCGGTGACTGGGGTATCCCCATATGTAGCCCCATCATCGGTCGCGATCGTTTCCCTGGGCATGCCGCTAACAGGAGGGTTAACAGCAGGATCTAGTTTGCAGGTTCCTGTACAAACAGTGTTCACCCAATCTCCGTTGCAGGTTGCGGTTACCACGCAGCCTGCTGTCTCGCAACCTGTACAGCCGCAGGGTACACAGCCCCAGCAGCTAGCACAGCAGCCTGTGTCACAGGGTCTACAGCCCGGAGTGATGCAGGGACCGAGACAAACACAGTGGGTACCAAAGACGACCATCGCCGCTCCTAAACCCTTCATAGGGGATAAGAGGGGCGAAGACCTCGACACGTGGTTGAGGGCAGTGCCGGTCTATGTCAAGTGTAAGCTTACCTTGCCGCACGAGGAAGTGCTTGTGGCTACATCCTATCTAGAGGGTAGTGCAGCACGATGGTTGAGCGRTTTAGTGCAACYACAGGGGTACGGTCATGACTTCCGCGCTTGGGCAGCCCACCAGAAACTGGAGGACTTCCTCAAGATGGTGGAAGAAAGGTGGCATGATCCTCAGGAGGCCCAAAAGGCCACTGATGCGATCTTGACACTGCACACGAGGCAGTTTAAGTCAATAAGGGAGGCCACCGACGCTATAGAGCGTCTGATCTGTGTCCCTGGGGTGTGCTATGACCCCCAAGTTTTACTCACCTCCTACCTGAGATGCTTTCCTATGCCTCTCAGGAATCGGTTGGCAGGTGAGGCCAACATCAATGTTCACAACTTCCCCTCATTCAGCAAGAAGGCCCTAGACCTTGAGGCGAAGATAGGGCATGGACATAATCCCACAACGGACGGAAGGAAGAAAACACTGCCTCCTAACTGGAAGGCGAAGGATCGCATTATGTTTGTCGATAACGATGGTTCAACCATCGAGCTAGACGACAACTTCCAGGAGGGAGTAGGTTCAGAGGCGGGCAGCGTAGAAGCTTCAGAGGGTGGAGTAGTCGCTGTCGTAGCTCAGAAAGGTAAGGCGACCGGTAGACGCCGTGGAGGCTCCCGGTCTAGGAGTCAAGTTGACCCGAATGCTCCTCCATGGGAGAAAGCGGGTCTCACAGAGGACGTTTGGAGAGATCGGTATACACGGCAGGCCTGTATTCGTTGTGGTCAATATGGCCATAACCAATTCAAGTGTTGCAATAAGAAGGTGACCGATAAGATCCCGCCTACGATGGGGCAAGCGTTGGGATCCTCCCATCCCGTTGATAGCAACGTAGCTAGTACTTCTGGCAGTGCTCCGGGAAACACGTCGGGCCAGTAGGAATAGTAGTTGTTCCCGCTAGGGTCGAGGTGGTGGAGACACCCTCACCATCTCGAGAGATGGCCCAAGCTACTGACTCCAGCGTCGTCCCGCAAACACGTTCAGACCCATTGAGCCTCTGTTCGATGAATGTGTTTGAGTCCTTAGAGGAACTAGAGGAGGAGTGGTCTAGATCAGAACCGCTAGCTTCTTGGACGACCCTAGTCAAAGCCTCGAAGGGTGAAATGTTCGTCAGCGAGGTTGTCATTGGCGGCCGCAAGGCCGGGGCCTATTATGACACTTGCTCGACTAGGAACTTTATCAGTCGCGCGTGCGTTGAGAGGTTGCGTTTACAGGGGCAAGTTCAGCGCCTGAGTCAACCTGTGGAGTCGACCTGTGCCAACAAACAACACATGGTAGTCAACGACTACCTCCAGGATGTTGAGTGTTGTTTCTCGTACGCGGGAGGGGAATTGAGACATCACGTCTCGTTCCTAGTGAGTGACGAACTCCCTATGGACATGTTGTTAGGAATGTACTACCTCTCTGTGGCACAGCCCCAGTTTGACTGGGACCGAAAAGTGGTCAAACACACTTTGCCAGGTGGAGGGACCGCCAGATTACGTAAGTTTAAAGCTAGTAGTCTGATTGAGTCCCACGGATGCATGTGTGCGGCCGCGTTCTACAATTATTATAAGCAAAATCAGGAGGAGGGTATGTACCTAGTTTATGTCTCTGCTGCAGGCGAGCCGGTGAAAATGCCACCGGAGATAGAGGGGAGTAGTTGTTAAGTACCCTGATCTATTTGAATAGGGGTTGTTGAGAGGGAGGTCGTCCACGCAATAGAGATTATCCCAGGGTCTAGCATCCCAAAGGGTATGATCTATCGGATGTCTCCAGGCGAGCTCGATGAGCTTCGCCGGCAACTCAAGGAATTCGTAGAGAAGGGTTGGATCCGACCGAGTGTCTCTCCTTATGGGTCTTCAGTACTATTCGTACCTAAGAAGAAGGAGGGAACACTTAGGATGTGCATTGACTATAGAGGCCTCAATGCCATCACTGTTAAGAACAGAGAGCCCCTACCGCGCATCGACGATTTGCTAGATAGAGTGCAAGGGTGTCGGTACTTCAGTAAGATAGATATGAAGTCCGAGTACCATCAGATTGCAATCCGGCCTGAGGATCAACACAAAACCGTTTTTCAGACCAGGTACGGTCTGTACGAGTTTGTGGTGATGCCTTTCGGCCTTTGCAATGCTCCTGGCACCTTTCAGCACGCTATGAATCGGATATTTCATGACTACTTGGATAAGTTTGCCATCGTGTACCTCGATGACATACTTATTTTTAGTAAGACTGTCGAGGAGCACGTTGCACACCTGGACAAAGTCCTCAGTCTCCTGCGACAGCACAAGTTCAAGATCAACAGTGAGAAGTGCGAGTTTGGCCGCACCCGTGTCTTGTACTTGGGTCATGAGATCTCCGCGGAAGGGTTGAAGCCTGATGACGCGAAGGTGGCCAGCATTTGTGATTGGCCACGTCCTCGGTCTGTGACTGAGATGAGATCTTTCTTAGGGATGATCGGCTACTATCGCAACTTCGTGAAGAACTATAGCATAGTTGCCGCCCCTTTGACTGACCTGACCCGCCTTGACACCCCATGGGAGTGGACTGAGTAATGCGAGGCTGCTTTCAGACATCTGAAGCATGCGTTGACGCATTATGAAGTCTTGAAACTTCCTGATCCTGACAAACCATTTATAGTGACTACGGATGCTAGCCAATATGGCATAGGCGCCGTACTTGCACAACAGGAGGGGAAAAGGTTGAGGCCAATTGAGCACATGTCCAAGAAAATGTCGTCTCAGAAGTTGGCTAAGTCCACCTATGAGAACGAACTCTATGATTTGTTGGACAAGGGCTGGATCCGCTCGCAACTCGATGATTTGTTGGACAAGGGCTGGATCCGCCCTAGTAGCTCTCCATACGGAGCGTCAGTTCTCTTCGTACGGAAGAAGAACAAAGATCTACGATTGTGCATCGATTACCGCAAGCTCAACGCGCAAGCCGTCAAGAATGCGAGGCCCCTTCCTCGCATCGACGATTTTCTTGAGCGATTGGGCGGCGCAAAGTATTTTTCTAAGTTTGATTTAAAGTCGGGATATCATCAAATCTCGATCCGATCGAACGGTCGTTACAAATCCACGTTCAAGACGTGGTATGGGCATTTTGAGTGGGTGGTCATGCCTTTTGGCCTCACCAACGCCCCGACGACCTTTCAAGCAGCAATGACCAACGAATTCCGTGCAATGTTGGACCGGTTCGTGTTGGTCTACTTAGACGATTTTCTCGTCTATAGCCGGTCATTGGAGGATCATCTTGAGCACCTTCGACGAGTGTTGGAGAAGCTCTGCCTCGCCAAGCACATGGCCAACCGCGACAAGTGCGAATTTGTTCGGCAAGAGCTGGAATACTTGGGCCATTTTGTCACACCTCGCCTTCGTCCACGTGCTCAAGCGGTGGTGGCATTTCCTCCTTGGTCGAAGCCAATTTCGATGGTTAACGGACAACAATCCGTTGGTCTTTTACAAGACCCAAGACACTGTCAACAACACCATTGCTCGATGGATGGCTTTCATCGACCAGTTCGACTTCTTTCCTGATCACATTCGGGGGAAGTCGACCCGTTTTGCAGATGCTCTTTCACGACGTCTGGATCATTGTACCGCGGTCTATTCAACCTTCGAGATCGACAATGATCTGCGGGACAGCTTCGTCCGCGGCTACCAAGCCGACCCTGAGTTTCAGGACAAGTACGCGAATTGCTCCTCTCCTAATCCGACGCCTTCTCACTATCGGATCCAAGAGGGGCACTTGTTTGTCCACTCACGGGGGAAGGACCTTCTTTGCATAGCGAGTGACCCTCACTTGCGTACACGACTTCTTGGCGAGTTCCACGATGCTCCCGCCACCTGACACTTTGGAGTCAATCGCACGATTGGCCAACTTCGTGAGCGATTTTGGTGGCACGGCCTTCTCGACGACGTCACACGCTATTGCGAGTCATGCGAGGTTTGCCGACGCTACAAATCCAGCAACCATCGTCCATACGGCAAGTTGCGATCATTACCGGTTCCCTTGCGACGAAGGGAAGCGATTGTCATGGACATTACCGGCCCGTTCCCCAAGCACAAGACTGGCGTGGATGGGATTCTCACAGTGGGCGACCGACTCACCAAGTTCGCCATGTTTTTGCCTTGCCGCTATCATGCCAAGGCACCGGAGTTGGCCGAGGTTCTTTACGCCGGTTGGATTCGAACCAAGGGTTACCCCAAGGAAATCGTCTGCGACTGCGACACTCGGTTCATGTCCAATTTTTGGTTGGCGCTCATCAATCGATGGGGCTCATCTCTCAAACCAAGTTCGGCTCGCCACACCCAAACCGACGGCCAAATGGAGAGGGCGCATCAGACCGCACAAGTTCTCCTTCACACTCTCATCCGCCCCGACCAGAAGGATGGGGTTGAGCGGCTGCCGGCTGTCGAGTTGGCCTACAACTCGTCCATCCACCCGACTATCGGGATGTCGCCCTTCGAGTTTGAGCACGGCTCGTCGGTCACTTCGTCGTTGGATACAATCATTCCACGAACGGTCGAGAGCGACGACCATCTTCTTTTCTTGTGTCGGATGCATGAGCTACTTTGTCAAGGCACCCAACAAGATGGCGAAGACGCAGCAACGCATGAGCCAACAGGCCAATCGCCAGCGTCTTCCTTGCCCATTCCGCGCCGGCGATCTCGTTTGGGTTTCCGTCGCGGAATTCAGCCTTGAACAAGATATCTCTTGCAAGCTCCTCCCGAAATGGATGGGGCCCTGGCCGATCGAGGCACCCGTTGGGGATGCACCCGAGGGACGTCCTTCACTACTCAGGTGCCCGCCCACTTGCTCGTCTACCCAGTCTTTCATTGCTCCAGGTTGGCTCTTTACACACCAGAGGAACATGACGATTTTCCCGGGCGACGTTCGCAAGAGGACGGTTTTCAGGAGGTCGGCGACATCATCTCCCAGCGACGCTACGGCAACAGGCCAACCGAGTACTTGGTACATTTTGCGTACCACACTCACAAAGTTGACCGTTGGTTGACCTGTGCGGAACTCCAAGCCACAACTCCGGATGTTCTCGCACACTACGAACGCAAGATGCAAGGCAAGTCGGTATCTTCGGCTCCACGTCGCACCCGCGTCCAGGTTCCATCTTCAAATCGTCAGCTTCGCCCTCGACCCGACTTGACTTCATAAGGAGGGGGGGGTGTTACATGCTGCGCTTGCAACAGGCTGCACGGGCCATTTCGAGGCCCGTGACGTTTTCAGGCCAAAAGCCTGAAAACAAGGGCCTACAGGCCCTGTGTCATTTCAGCCCGAGAGCCTGAAAACAAGGGCCTACAGACCCTGTGTCGTTTTAGGCTAAATCAGGGCCTTTCCGGCCCTGAGTGTTTTCAGCCTGAAACTGAGGGCCATTTTCGGGCCCTCATCGGTTCGACCTTCCCTGAAACTCAGGGTACAAACCAGGGTTTTAGCACAGGCCATTTTGGGCCTGTTTTCAAGACAACCCCTGGTTGAGCTTCAACTCCAAGGTCTGGCATGTTTCGGAATTGGCAAGAGCAGCCGCCTGGACGGGCCAACACTATTGTTACATGCCCAGATGGGCGATGTACATAAGAACCGAGGATCCGCAATGTGATAAAAAGGACTAAATGGACAATGCAATGCAAGTGGAATCTCAACAAGCAATGTGCATTTCGATACATACAGAATGGTGCTTGATAGCGCAGGGAAGACTTAGATACAAATCCTAACTTGACCGGGACTGACCTTATTCACGTAGCCCGAGGTAGCGAAGCAGAATGCTAGAATGCAAATGACTAGCCCAATCCATGTTTAAACGCAGACTAAACATGCATCACATACATCACAAGGTGTGAAGGAGCCTGGCGCTATACACAGGGAAGAGGCGCCAGGTTCAGACATACTCAGACGAAGAGGAGGGGATCCGACGAAGAAGAGGAACGGGGAGATGGGAAAGTCGTCAACACCAAGTGTCGTTTCAAGTCCCAAATAATCCCTCTTCGATATGTCTGAAGTCCAATGTCGAGTCTGGATCCAAATGTCACCAAGCTCTCTCTCTCTCTCTCTCTCTCTCTCTCTCTCTCTCTCTCTCTCTCTCTCT